GCTCTGTTTTCGTGACGGATTAGTCTGGACGGTAGGCTTAACCGTAGAAATAAAGCTGCGTTTTCAAATTTATCCGGCGTAGTGTGGACTTGACAACACTCAACTTGACATACCAGAGTGAGAATTCGTTATGTCTTGTAATCTTTTGTTGGTTTCAGCTGAGGCCGTTAACAACATGTGTGGACTGGGGTTTAATGGTTATGACGAGAATGGAAAAGCCAAGTGGAACCGAGTTACTAATGTCAATATTTTAAAAGTCGAGGTAATCTTTTACTTTTTTGTCACATCAGGGTTAATTTTATTTCCTAGGCTTATCTTTCGTTTTATTTAACTGGAATGTTTTTTTTTCTCTCTCTCTCTTTCTCTTCAGTTTGCTACAAGCACGAAAGATGGTCTGTGACAACTGGAACATTTCTACCGCTCTCTGGTTAAAAAGGTTAGGAACATCAGATGATTTCTCTTCTTTTTCAAAACAAGACAGTTAAGATTTTAAAGGGCGGATGAAATTTAGGATGGTTTCTTGACATACAACTGTCGTGAAGTTAAGAGACGGATCATTAGGTTTTTTAAAGGGGGGGGGGTTAGGCAATTGGGAAAAAGAATTCATGCACAACAAAAACTGCTAAAAAGAACACGTGCAAGAGAAGCGGTAGGGAAAAAAATCGAGCAAGTGCTTTCTACCTACCAGGTCCTGAATTTGACTTAAAAAAAAAAATCTTGCACAAACTGTTGCCCACCAAACAAATCATGCACAACCTAAAAGTGAGCAAAAAACATTACCAGTTAGTTCACTGGCTAGTCAATGATCGAAAGAACAACTTTAAAGAAAGTGGCGCGGGATAACCAGTTAGTTTTGAATAACTGTACCAACTTTTATCAGTAGTGTGTAGTACTATAGTCCGGCAATAATCCAGGTTTCTCGATGCTCAGTTGTATCTCTCCATGTTCCCTTTTAGAACAGTGTACGAGCGAAGTCCTCGGCACAGAACCCTGGCGGTGTTTGTCAT